CCACCTGATGCGAAGAACTGACTCATTTGAAAAGACCCTGATGCTTAGAAAGATTGAGGGCAGGAGGAGAAGGGGATGACAGAGGATGAGATGGTTGGATGGCATCATCACTCAGTGGACATGAGTCTGAGTAAGCTCTGAGAGTTGGTAATGGACAGGGAGGCCTGGTGTGCTACAATCCATGGGGTCACAGCGTTGGACACAACTGAGCAACTGAACTGTACTGAATAGTCTACCTTCATTTTTTTACATGTGGATATATAGTTACCTCCAAACCATTTGTTGAATAGACGATTCCTTTCCCACTGATTGGTCTTGGTGCCCTTAAAAATCAATTGACCACAGATGATAAATTTATTTCTGGACTCTATCCCATTGAACTGCAGGTCTGTCTTTATGTCAGTATCACTCTGTGTTGGTACCCTAACCTTGTAAGTTTTGAAATCAAGGAGCATGACTCCTACAACTTTATTCTCCTTTTTAAAGATTGTTTTGGTTATTAGAGTCCTTTGCAATTCAATGATTATTTTAGGATCAGCTTTTACATTTTTGCAAAAATAAAGGCTATAGGTACTGAACTGAATTTGCAGATCACTTTGGAGAGTATTGCCATCTTAACAATACACCACCTTCCAATTCATGAACAGGAGGTGTCTTTCCATTTATTTAGGTGTTCTTCACATTCAGCAATGCTTCATAATTTTCAGTGTATAAGTCTCGCACTTTGTTGACTAAACTTATTTCTAAGTACTTTATTCTTTTGACAGTACTAAAGTGAAATTATTTTCATAATTTTCTGGAAATGGAATTGTTCTTTGCTAGTGTATAGAGATGGAGAAGGAAATGGCAACCCACTCCAGTGTTCTTGCCTGGAGAATCCCAGGGACGGGGGAGCCTAGTGGGCTGCCGTCTATGGGGTCGCACAGAGTCGGACACGACTGAAGCGACTTAACAGCAGCAGCAGCAGCAGTGTATAGAGATACCACTGATTTTTGCATGTTGATCCTGTACCATGCCACTGTGCTGAATTTATTAGTTTTAGTACTTTCTTGTGGATTCTTTGGGGATTTCTGTATATAGGATCATGTCCTCTATAAAGAGAAACAATTTTAGTTATTCTTTTCTAATCTGGATAACTTTTCTTTTTCTTGTCTAATGGCTTGAGCTGGAAGTCCTAGGACAATGTTGAATAGCAATGGTACATGTGGTATTCTTATCTGTTCCTGATCTTAGCAGGGAAGCTTTGAGTCTTTTACCATTTAATATAATGCTAGCTATGGGTTTTTCATAAATGCCCTTTATCAGGTTGAGGATATTCCTTTCTATTCTGTTTTCTGAGTGTTTTTTGTTCCCTCATGAAAGTATGTTGCAGTTAAAAAAATTTTTTTTTTTTTTTGGTATTTATTAGTTGATCACGTGGATTTTTTTCCCTTCATTCTAGTAATATGGTGTATTACAGCCATTGATTTTCATTTTTGAGCCATTCTTGTTTTCCTGAGGTAAATCCCATTTAGTCATGTTTTATAAATCTTTTAATGCGCTGCTAGATTCCATTTGCTAATATTTGGTTGAGAAGTTTTACATCTATATTTATAAAGGATATTGGTCTATAGTTTTCTATTCTTGTGATGTCTTTGTCTGGCTTTGATAACAACATTATTAGTCTCATTAATGAGTTAGAAAGTGTTCCCTCCTCTTGTTTAGAAGAGCCTGAGAAAGATTTCTGTTAATTCTTCTTTAAATATTTGGTAGAATTCACCAGGGAAGCTGTCTGGTCCTGGACTTTTCTGTTTTGTAAGGTTTTTGGTTACTTTTTCAATCTATATTTTCTACAGGTCTGTTCAGATTTTCTATTTCTTCTTGAATGTATTTGTCTGTTTCTAGGAATATGTCCATTTCATCTCATTGGCCTATAATTCTTCATAGTAGTCTTTTATAATCCTTTTTATTTCTGTAAGATTGGTGGTAAATGTCCCACATTTATTCCCGATTTTAGTAATTTGAGTCTTTCTTTTTTTTTTTCCTCCTGGAACAATCTATTTAAGTTTGTCAATTGTGTTGAAACTTCCAAAGAACCATTTATTGTTTCATTTATTTTTTCTATTTTTTTCTCTTCTCTGTTTTGTTTATCACCACTCTAATTTTTATTTCTGTTCTTCTGCTTGCTTTGAGTTTAGTTTTCTCTCCTTTTTATAATTCCTTAAGGTGGGCTAGTTAGGTTATGTTTCTGTTTTCAAATGTAGGCCTTTGTAGGTATAAATTTCCCTCTGAGCACTGCTTTCACTGAATCTCATTAGTTTTGGGATGTTGTGTTAATCTCAACATACTCTCTAATTTCCCTTGGTTTATTTCTTCAACCTGATGGTCATTTAGTAGTGTTGTTTAATTTTCACATATTTGTATATTTTGCCTATTTCTTTCTGTTTTGAGTTCCAATTTCATTTCACTGTGATCAGAGGACATACTTAGTATGATTTCAATCTTCATACATTTATTGAGGCCTGTTTTGTGGCCTCAAAATGTTTATCCTTGAGAATCTTTTATATGCACTTGAAAGGAATATGTATTATAATGTGCTGTTTTGGGGTTGACTGTTCTACAGATGTTTGTAAGGTCTATTTAGTTTATAGTGCTGTTCAAGTCTTGTATTTCCTTCTTGATCTTCTATCAAGTCTTTCTATCAATTATTGAAAATGGAGTATTGAAGTCTCCAGCTATTACTGTAGAACTGCCTCTTCTCTCCAGTTCTGTCATGTATTTTGGGATTTTGATGTTAGGTGCGTATATAAGATGCACATACATTTGTAATTGATATACCTTCTTGGTGAATTAACCCTTAAAATATTTTTATTGAAGTGTAGTTTATTTCCACTATTGTGTTAGTTTCAGGTATACTGCAAAGTGATTCAGTTATATGTATATATCTATATATATTTTCAGATTCTTTTCCATTATAGGTTATTACAAGATATTGATTATCTTATAGTAGCTCCTTATGCTACATAGCAAATTCTTATTTATCTATTTTATATGCAGTAGTAAGTATCTGTTAATCCCATACTCTTAATTTATCCCTCCTCTCCCACCATCTTTCTTCGTTGGCAACCATAAGTTTGTTTTCTAAATGGACTGACTTTAAAATATATATATATATATAAAATACCCTCTTTTTTAATCTGAACAATTTTTGTCATAAAGTATACTTTGATATTTGGAGAGCTACTCTAGTTTTTAATTAGTTACTGTTTGTATGGGATAGCCTTTTCTATCTTTTTATTATGCTTGCAACCAATTCATATCTTTGAATCTAAAATGAATCTCTTACAGACAATATACATCTGGATCATGTTTTTAAAAAAGTATCTACTTTTCCAATCTCTCCTGTTAACTGGAGTTTAATCTGTTTGCATTTGAAACAATTACTGATAAGGAAGGACTTGATATTTTGCTATTTGTCTTCTAAAGTGTCTTATATCACCTCCCATTCCTCCATGACTACCTTTTTTTTTGTATTTCACTGATTTCGTTTTTCTTTCTTTCTTTTTTTTTTCTGGTAGTTTACCACTTTGATTTCCTGCTTATTTCTTTTTCTGTGTATTTTTTACCTATTTTTGTAGTGGTTGCTCTGGGAATTAGAATTAGCATGTTAATTTGTAACAGTATATTTTGGATTAATACATACTGAATTTCAACAGTATATAAAGTCATTGCTCCTATATAGCTCCACCCCCTTTATGTTGTTACTGACAGAAATTACACCTTCACACATTATGTACCATGAAGACAGATTTATATTGTTTTATATAGTCATCTTCTAAATCCTATATTAAAAAAGAGGAATCACAAAATATAGTAACACTGTCTTTTGTATTTATTTACGTATGTAGTTGGGCTTCCTGTAAAAAATCAGCCTGTAGTGCTGGAGATCCAGGAGATGCAGGTTCCATCACTGGGTTGGGGAAGATCCCCTGGAGGAGGGCATGACACCATGGATTTCTCCAGGTAAGAATACTGGAGTGAGTAGCCATTCCCTTCTCCAGGGGATCTTCCTGACTCAGGGATCGAACCTGGTTCTCCCGCATAGCAGGGGCATTCTTTACTGCCTGAGCCACTAGGGCAGCCGTAGTTACCTTTAGCCTGTGCTTTATTTCTTTGTGTAGATTCCAGTTTCCTTTTGGGGCTGCCTGCAGAACTCCTTAGCATTTTCTGCAGGGAAAACACAGGTCGTGAGACTATTTAGATTAAAATAGGAGAGACACCTTGGTAAACAGGGTTGATCAGGTAAAAATGACAGTGAACTTAAAGGGAGAGTTCAGAAAAATTCATGGCTCAATCACAAGATTTTCTTGATGATAGGGATGCTGCTGCTGCTGCTGCTAAGTCGCTTCAGTCGTGTCCGACTCTGAGACCCCATAGACGGCAGCCCACCAGGCTCCTCTGTCCCTGAGATTCTCCAGGCAAGATCACTGGAGTGGGTTGCCATTTCCTTCTCCAATGCATGCATGCGTGCTAAGTCGCTTCAGTCGTGTCCGATTCTGTGCGACTCCATGGACAGCAGCCCACCAGGCTCCTCTGTCCACGGGATTCTCTAGGCAAGGATACTGGAGTGGGGTGCCATTTCCTCCAGACAGGGATTCTAAGTTCGTTTATTCAGGATGCTGAGGGAAGTGTGCCGACAGTGGAACTGACTTCATTAAAGGTCTGAAGTGTATGTAAGAACTATGGGAGAGGAAGGTGAGACAAAAGTAGAACTGTACCCCCCTATGCAGTTCCAACCAGTTAGAGATTCATTCCACCATGCTGGGTATTGTCCTTCCGAAGTTTTAACAATAAAGCCTTCTAGCGGCTCACTGTGGCGCCCAGGGCAGCTTCTGGTCTGCTCATCCTGTACAGGGGGCCCTTGCTGGGAGGCAGATCCCATCAGGCCTTGCGGGTGGCTCAGCACGACTGTGACGTGTCTCGCTGTCGGCTGCCGAACCGAGGCTGGCGTCGTGAGGGAAACTGCTTTACTCTCTGTGAGGAAAGCAGGAGACTGTGAGGGAGAAAGAGGCCGACGAGGAGGCCAAGGTTGGGCTAGGACTGAAGGAGGACTGACCCGGCAGGTGAAGGGCGGACTTGGTAGCAGCCGCAGCTTTTAGTTGCCATTGCTGCTGGGAGGTGGCATCTTCCTCAGTGAGGTGGTTGGTTGACTAGGTCTCGGCGGCCATGGCGGTGAACTTTGGGGACCACACCAGTGGCTTTCGTCACAACGATGTAATCAGTTTCATCAACAGCGAGGTCCTCATGAACGGAGGCGACCATGATTTCTATAGGGCCTTCTGCTCGGGACCCTGGAGTGAGGTAGAGGATCGGCTGCAAGTTGTCTTAGCTAACCCACAGGTGCCGCACGCCATCAAGAGGGCCTGTGCCTGGAACGCGCTGGCCTTGAGCGTGCGTGTTGGCATGAGGCAGCAGGAGCGGCAGGAGCGTCAGATCCGGTGGTTGCAGGAGCAGGTGGAGGAGCAAGAGAAGACTTACTGGGCCCTGGCCTTCAAGCTGCAGCGCCTCCGTGAGGAGCGGGAGGAGATGGTGTCACAGTTGCGCTTCACATGGGCCTCACTGCAGCAGGTGCTGAAGGAATGTGATGTGCTTCGTGGGCGGCTGCTCCAGGTCCCCCCATTGGCCCAAGAGATGGGGCCTGGGCCTCGAGCCAAGCAATTTGGGGCAGTAGCATGGCCCATGAGCACGGAGCAGCAGGTGGCCATGGGGGTGCCTGGCAGGCCTTATTTTGAGGCAGCTGCTGATAGGCTGAGGCAGATGCCTGCCCCAGAAGCTGCTGTTTATGTGCCGGGACCACCGAGTTCCTGGTCCCAGGCCATGAAACCCCCTATGCCAATGCCGATGCTGTATCCATTTCCATACCATGCACCATTCCCCATGGGATCACAATCCTTGCCACCTGTACCACCAGCAGAAGCAGAAGCTGCAGCAGTCCCATTTCAGATGCCTTCTCCGGGAGTCTGTCTACCTGGCCCATTGGTTGCAGTGGGCTTTCAAGAGAAGATAGCCCCCCTGGGCAACAAGAAGAGCTACAGCCAGGGAGGTCCTGAGATCCTGCAGGGTACAGTCCCCTTAGCGGGTATCAGAAGTCTTAACCAGGAAGAAGGTCAGGAGAGGTCACAGGAGATGGTCCCTCTGGGGACCAGTGGGAGCCACAGCCAGGAAGAAGTTCCCAGAAGACCCCAGGGGACTGTTCCCCTGGGGGACAGCAGAAACCAGAATCAGGAGAGAGATCTAGAGAGATTCCAGAGGATTCTCCCCCTGGAGTACAATAGAAGTCACAAGCAAGAAGATCCAGAGAGACCCCAGGGGACTGACCACCTGGGAGTCAGCAGAAGCCAGAGCCAGGAAGGAGGTCCAGAGAGGCCTCAGGCTACTGCCCAGGGGCACAGCTGGAGCCATGATGGGAGAGAAAACCCAGAGAAACAACAGCCTCAGGAGCAGAAGACCGAGAAACCAAAAGGGAAAGAAGCCTCAGAATCATACCACAAGGAGAAGTCTGCTTCAGGTTGCAGTTCAGTGAATTGGAAGTGCCCATGGTGTAAAGTGATGAATTTTTCGTGGTGCGAGTCCTGCTATAAATACTGGAAAGTCTGGAGGGCAGTTGGGAGTGGAGGCCCAGACTCAGGACAAACTCACCAATTTCAGGAAGGTAAGTAAGAATGGAAACACTCCAAAGAAAAACCAATTTCCTAAGAACCCATACTCTTTTGATAAGAAAGTTCTCATTTACTTTACAGAAAATGTGAAACCAAAATTATGATATAAAAAATTAAAGTAATTCATTATCCCATTACCTAAATAACAACTTTTTATCATTGTGGGTATACATATACACGTAAATAACGTGCATGCTCAGTGGCTTCAGTCATGTCCAACTCTTTGTGACCCTATGGAATGTAGCCTGTCAGGCTCCTCTGTCCATGGGATTCTCTGGGCAAGAATACTGGAGTGGGCTACCATTGCCCTCCTCCAGGGGATCTTCGTGATCCAGGGATCAAACCCAAGTTTCTTATGTCTCCTGCATTGGCAGGTGGATTCTTTATCACTAGTGCCACCTGGAAAGCCCACACATAAATACATATGTGTGTGTATATATATATGTGTGTGTGTGTGTGTGTGTGTGTGTATGTGTGTGTGTGTGTGTGTGTATATATATATACACATATATATGGTTTTCATTTACTTGAAGAAAGATGGATGGCTTTTAAGTATCATACTCTAAGGAATTTCTCCTAATTGAATTTATGTTCCCAGGTGCTGAATTCTACATGGTTGATACTGATTGATTGACATCCCAGAGAAGCTGAGGTCAAGACTTTTATTTTTCCTTTTTCATTCTTTTCTGTTTTCTTTCTTAAAAAAGAGAAATTATTTATTTATGGCTGGCCATGCTGGGTCTTCATTGCTGCTCACGGGCTATCTTGTTGCAGCCAGAGAGATCTACTCTTCTTTGCGTTGTGTGGGCTTCTCATTATGGTGGTTTCTCTTGTTTCAGAGCCCAGGCTCTAGAGCTCTCAGGCTCAATAGTTGTAGTGCATGGGCTTAGTTGCATAATGTGGGATCTTCCCAGACCAGGGCTGGAACCTGTGTTCCCTGCAATGGCAGGTGGATTCGTAACTATTGGACCACAAGGGAAGTCCCTCTGTTTTCTTATTAATCTTGTTTTCCAGAAAATGCCATGTATTTGGCTGGAAACAGCCATGCATTTTTAGTTATAAGCTATATTGGATTTTAGGAACCCTGCTATTCCTTGAAAATGCTATTGTTCATTTGTTAACTACTGCAAAGCTCATGTTTACTTCTTGTTTTTGTTTTTTAAGTTTTACAGGTGAGAGTTTGTCTTTATGTCTCTGAGCCCTACAGAATTTGCTTCTTCTGAAGAATCTGAACCTATCCCATTGGATCTTCCAAGAGCCTAAGACATAATCCTCATTTCTTTTTGACCCATACCACGGTGAGGCCCCACACTGACTGGATCTGAGAAGAGAGAAAAGTCAGGAAAGAAGAGATGCTTTGGCACTTGGGAGAAAAGGAGGGCAAAAGAATTTTGTTAGGATTTAATTTCTCTGTTGGGACAAGGAATTCAGAGTCGAAGGATGAAGTGTTAAGTTGTAGAGATGATAGCAAATTTGTTGAATTTCATTTAATTCATTAAACAAATAGTTATTTTCTGATATGTTTTAGAAACTAGAGTTATATGTTAATATCTTGTGCATACCCTGTAACCTGATTTGGTGAGTTTGGTTAGATAACAGGAGAGAGCCAACTTTGGGATACAAATTATATCCGGAGTGATTTCTTTGTCTCTTATGTCATGTGGCCTTTGCATAAATGCAGTTGAAATAGCATGCAGATTATTTCTGTAGTTTTGGGGGCAAGATCAAAGAGATTTTTGTGGATGGACTTGATTTGCCAACAGCTCATCTCGTTGGTCCCAGATGACACAAATGAGTAGTGGCAAAGAGCAGGAAAGTGGCCTCACAAGAGTGCAGGCAAGACTTTTCTGATACTCCTGATTTCCTCCCTCGAGAGGGACAACTAGTTTCCTGGTTGCCTGAAAGACCAGCCACCATCCCAAGTCCCTTTCCAGCCAGTGGCTGAAGAACAAAATTATTCCAAAGACAGACATCGTGCTGTGGATGGTGCTTCTCTTGGGAGGACTAATTGGATTAAAAGTAGAACTGGACTGGGACAAGAGCTCCTGAGAACGCCCTTGGGTCCTTCTCTTCCACTTTGTGTGTTCTCTGCAGGCTCTGCTCCCCTGAGGCAGCTGCTGCAAGCCAGGGGAGCCAGGGTGGAGCCCAGGGGCTGGAAAGTCAGATCAGCCTCCAGTCTGAACAAGAGGTGTCCTGGAGTTCCCCCTGGAGATTCCAGCTCACCAGGCTCAGCCTTTGTCAGAGGTTTTCTGCTTCTAACTAGTAATAAAGAGTGTTTACTTACCTGCTGTGTCTTATATGTTGTGTGTACCGAGGGGCAGGTTTGCTCAGAAGTGGTGTTTTAAATCTGCCTCTTCCCTCCATCCCACTGAGGTGACTGGAGAATTCAATTTCATTCACTCTTTAAGGGCCCCTCCTCTTCCTGCGAGTTACTCAAGAATTGGGGGGAGGGACTTCTGTGGGGTCTTCAGTCCTTTGTGATTGTCCCTGCTCCCCTCACTGTCCAATTCCTTGAAGGTGGGCTTCTCTGCTACTCCTGGGCCCACGGGGCACGAGAGGGGAGGAGAGGTGAGGTGAGGTGAGGAGGGGACTTCTGCCTAGGCTGGGAGCCCTAGTGCCTCCCTACCTGCACCAAGAAGCCCTGAGGCCGTCTCCCAGAAGTGCCTTGAACAGAAATTTCTGCCCTGCAGGGCACTCAACCCTCCCTCCTATGCACAATCCCATCAAGGTGCTCAGGATTCTGGAGAAGAGCCAGGTTTAGCCAGTTGGCTAACTTGGTGAATGTTCCCGAAAACAAAAGGGGTAGAGTCTGGCTCCCTGCTTGGTGTAGAGACACATGGGGCAGAGAAAAGACATGAAGCTGCCCCACCAGCGTCCTCACTCCCAGGGTCCTGATTACCGGGAGGCCTTGGTTATTTGGGAGGGCACCGGGGCGGAAGGGGACCATCGGGGACATCAACATAAAGCTAAGCTTTCTGGGTTGGAGCCCTGGTTTTGTGATACACTTGTGTATGCTGATAACTCCCTGGAATTCTGGGAAGAGGAGATTTTGGAATTTTCCAGCATAATCCATTTTGGTGTATCAGCAGATCATTTTAGATCTCACTACATTTGCTGCATTTATGGTTTCATATGGACTCTGCTATTCATTGGTATACCTTTAGGTCTGCATGAAAGCACTCACCCTGTGCATAGCTTTTATGTAGTTAATATAACTGTCTTTCAGGGCTGAATTTTCCCAAAGCAACCGGAATAATTGAGGCTGTCAAATCACTACTTTCTTCTGGGTTGGGTACACACAGGAAAAGGCAGGAGGTTTTTGAGGCAAGAACCTGGGCTTTGGAATTAGAGAGACTTGAGATCAGATACTTGCTCTGCTATTCACTAGCTTTGTGACCTTAAACAAGTTACTGAATTTCTCTGAGCCCCAGTAAGTGGCTGTTCCTTTTCCCTGCCCTTAAGGTTCTGCTCTGGATGATGTAGTAATGAATATATGGGATTATTAATGATCGTAACAGTTACCATTGAGTGCTTACTATATACTAGGCACTCTAAGCACATTACCCTTTTGGTGACTGTATTATTAGTTCTTCCAAGTGAATATTATTATCCCCATTTTACAGATGTGGTAACTCAATACTGAAATTTGGGAGTTGGTGAAGCCTGGGTTCAAAATGATATTTTACTGATTCTAACATCTGCGCTCTCACCATTGTAACACACTGTCTTAACCTTTTACCTTTATTAAGTAATATATTTATAAATTAACATGGATTATCAATGCCTAAGCCCAGTGAAATGACTAATGGAGAGACTTTGAGGCATAGTGGCAATCTGGTGGTCAGGAGCTGCTCTTTTAGAATCTCTCAGGCTTTGGGATATATGACCATCTAGGCTGCCAGTAAGTAGGACCACTAATTATTTCAGGACTGCAAAAAAAAAAAAAAAAAAAAGAGGGGGCAGTAATTTAGGCAGTGGGAATGACTTGTATTTGATTCAACAGACTAGCCTTATGAAAAGGTCATTAAGCCTAGTTCAATATTAAGATAGGTACTTCCCTGGTGGTTCAATGGTTAAGACTCTTTCACTGTATGGGGTGTGGGTTTGATCCCTGGTCGGGGAACTAAGATCCCACATGCCACGTGGCGTGGACAAGAAAAAAATACTATTAAGATAGAGCCCATCTTGCTTACCTAAAGTGAAAGTGAAAGTTGCTCAGTCATGTCTGACTCTTTGCAACCCCATGGACTATAGTCCATGGAGTTCTCCAGGCCAGAATACTGGAGTGGGCAGCCTTTCCCTTCTCCAGAGGATCTTTCCAACCCAGGGATCAAACTCAGGTCTCCCACATTGCAGGTGGATTCTTTACCAGCTGAGCCACCAGAGAAGCCCAAGAATACTAGAGTGGGTAGCCTATCTCTTCTCCAGCGAATCTGCCCAACCAAGGAATCAAACCAGGGTCTCCTGCATTGCAGGCGGATTCTTTACCAACTGAGCTATCAGGGAAACCAACAGCTTATCTAAAGTTGGTCTGAATTACTCAGTTTGTTTTAAGTGGGTAAGGTGCCAGCTCTAACAGTCCAGTAAGTTATGTCTATGTACTTTTCAGTGAGTAAGTAGGGGGAAAGGAGACTTCAAATCTCCAGACATGTTGCAAACCGGGTAATGGAATCAATGTTTTTAAAATTGTGGTACCAAATCTATGATGGGATGGGAGAGAAAGACATAATTTCCTTATGGCCAGCTTTGTAAAGTCTTGACACTAAATGGTAGCAGACTTTTATTATGTGGTGCGGGCATTGTGTGCAGCACTCTTGAGTGGTTACGTTGCTTTGTGCAGCACTCTTGAGTGGTTACGTCGCTTCTAGCATGTGGCAGAGTGAGGGCGCTAAGCTTCACATAAGCTTTAGCATACTGAACCACCCTGACCTGTGACCTTCTCAAGTTGCTGTAGAACAGAATTTCTCATTGCCTAGGTTTGTTCTTCAGTACTTAAGACAAGTGCTCAAGACCATGATGAAATTGGTGTAGGAAGTGCTGCTGCACTGGTAGCAATATCCCCAGGGGATCTATTTGGTAAACCCTGTTTGGTTTGCTGCTGGAAGCACTCTAGCCAATGGACCTCAGATTCTCCCAGGTAGGTCAGATCCTGGCCCATCTAGCCCAACTTCTCTGGGGCTTAAAGAAATTGTAGAAAAGCATCATAGCCTCCCTAGGGTCAAGTTTACTTTATTACTATTTTAAAAAATTTTAACTGCACTTGGTCTTTGTTGTGGTGCACAGGCTTTCTGTTAGTTACACCATGCAGGGACTTCTCTAGTGGCTCATGGGCTTAGTTGCCCAGGGATTGAACCTGAGACCCTCCATTGGAAGGCAGATTCTTAACCACTGGACCACCGGGGAAGTCCCTTACATCAATTTTTAGATATCAAGAAATGCCAACAGGAGTTTCTAGCTCTTTACCACTTTATAGATAAAGCAAACAGCATTCATGGAAAGAAGGCTACCTATGCACTGAGCACGGTGTTAGATTCTGTAGAGGCAATCATTATTGCCCTCAGCGGTCTCCTGTTCTGTTCAAAGAAATAAAACAAATATACACCAAACGCCAGTTATCAGCCTTTTTTTCTTTTTTTTTTTTTTAATTTTTATTTTATTTTTTTTCCATTTATTTTTATTAGTTGGAGGCTAATTACTTTACATCATTACAGTAGACAGTTTCATCCATCTCATTAGAACTGATTCTAATGAATTCTTTTTAATGGCTGAGTAATATTCCATGGTGTATATGTACCACAGCTTCCTCATCCATTCATCTGCTGATGGGCATCTGGGTTGCTTCCATGTCCTGGCTATTATAAACAGTGTATCAGCCTTTCTTTCAATTGTTGGAACATATTTTCTGGCCTGTAGATGTTGGTTTTCAAAGGATTCTGTGTATCAAACAGTGTTATTTAACAAATAACTATTTTCTCAGTTAAAATTAAGAAAGTCTGTTGATATGATTCCAACTAAGAGCAGTTACTTGCCATTTAAGCTTAGGATTTCTGAGAGGATTCAATGAGTATTGTTATTTTTATTATTATGACATGCAGCCTAATCACAGGCAAGTGGACCATTTTACTAGGCTCTTTGTAATACTGACAATACAGCCAAATCCATCCTTTACTTAAACTTCTATGAACTTTGGGAGCACAAATTAGGAGAAAGTTGTATAGGAAGCTGGTAGTTTTAATACATGTTAAATATAGTGAGAGCTAAAAGATTTTAGGGCAGTCTAAGTTCAGTATGGACCATTTTAGTTTGCAAAGCTTCCGCGATAGTCAGATAGTTTCACATTATGTCCTCATTTGACTAAACAGTTGCTAGAAAAGTTGACTGTGTTTTACTTCAAATTAATATGCAATATTACAGTTTCAGTTGTGATATTCTGCAGCTTTTTGTTTTTATGTTTATACCTACTATCTCATGTTTTATTCTTCATTCTGCACTACATACAAAAATAATTGCACACAAGGCAGAAACTTGTGATTACTTTTTTGGTAGGCAGCATTAAACCATACTCTAGTATTTAGAAAATGATGACAAAGAGCTCTCTGACGGTTTTGTCTGTAAGTACAAGTTTTAGGATACTTATTCTCATTAAAAAATTGTTTTGTTTGATATACATTTACTTTGATCACTTCAATAAGCCATATTGGTTCCAGGAAAGAAGAGAATGAGCAAATATTGAAAATTTCATGCCTTTACCATTACAATCCCTGATATTGTCTAGACAGTTTTGAAACTTCAGAACACATATGACCTGCTTTGTAAAAGACTCATACTATTGGACTCCCCGCTGATAGATGTTTCTAACATTTTTTCATGAAATATTTATTACTGATAAGGAAAAGAAAAATAATGGCAATATTGCATCTGTAACTACAAAATGCATTTAGAAATCCACCAATAGCTATTTTGCTTGCTGGGATATATTTCAGTTGTATTTACTGAGCTGCTTAGGGAAACATTTATATAGTCCATTTCATTGCCAAATTTTGGTGTTTGTAGTGTATAGATCAAAGTGGTCATCTATGTTTTTCAAAGCATCAGAGATTTTGTAAAAAATGCTCAGGCCAAAAAAAAAAAAAAATGTATGGACAAAATAGTCTCTGTGGGGACTTGCCTATCCCCACTTGTAGTCCAGTGGTTGAGAATCCACTTTCCAATGC